GGTATCCTATAATCAGATTATACCCCATATTCTACTTACTGAAGGGGGACTATAGGGTTTATAGGGTTCAGGGTTTAGGAATCCTGGAGGCTGCCCCCAAGCACCCATGTGTAGTTGGATTATTCATGCAACTTGGTGCTGGCTTAGGCACGGAGGGGATGGGATGAGATTGATAGGCACTCAACCTTCAACATACGAGCAAGAAGTCAGTATCAGGGGAGGAGCATCCTCAAAATGGTAGGGAAAAGCCCATGGTCATGCTATATTCTGAGCTTCTCTTTTGAGCCCTGTATAGTCCTTGGCCTTGAAGGCCTCTTGTAATTTCCGTATAAGACCCACGGGGTCCCAAGTTAACCGTACCCCCAAGTCCGAGAGGGTAATACTGGGTGGCCTCCTGTCACTGACCTGTGCCCGAAAGTGAAAACCCAAAGTCATAGTCATACAAAGTGGACGAGTCGCAGCTGTTTCGCCCGCGTGGCTGGACGAATAGGATGCATCCAGGGTGTCTTGCATGATGCGACAGCCATCCGAAAGCAGAAGCTAAACAAACTAAACTTCAGTGCTTAGGGTAGTTTAGGGCTCAGGGTTTGGGCATCGTCCTCGCTGGCCTGTATTCGATCAAACAGCCGCACTTGCTGGCCCTAGCGATATGGCCAACTGCTTCTGCAAGGTAAAGGCTTCAAGGCTCAGATATGGGAAATTGAGACCTGTATCATGTTGCTTTTCGGCCGTTATAGGCCAAAGTGCGCATGCCTAGTCAGGTGACATAGGCCATCTTGCCCCTATCTGAAACCACAGCTGCAGCCACAACAGCCATGCTGAGATCGTAGTGAAATCTATACTTCCGTTACCGTTATGACTCTTGCGTGCTACAACTGCTACCTTTCTAAATGTCTACTCTTCTTCGATGACGAATTACAACTAAGGGGTGTTTTGTCATGTATGGGGCAGACCACGAGTGAGCACCTCAAGTATACGACTCAGAGCCTTGAACCCCCCGAAAAGGGAGCTTTGCAAATTGATCTCTATAGTAAACAATTCTTCAGGGAGACTTCTTTCATCCAGTCCCCGTAGACCCCTGAGGTTCCCAAGGCCCCGGAGTGTGGGGAACGAGACCGTTTCTTGTGCCCAACAAGCCGATCCATTTCTGGCTTTTGAGAATTTTACGGGAAGCGTGTCTTTTGTTGCGTTATCGGGCTTGTCGATGCACTCCCGCCAACCATCCTCTAGATTTGGATCCAGCTATCGGTGTTGCATGCTTAGAATTGGGGGATCATACAGCAATGTAGGATCTAGGTTGCTATTTGGGGCGCCATGTGTTTCAATCTCTGGCGGTATCTGTAGCCTTATCACAAAGCTTGCAAGGATTCATAACGCAGGCTCCTTGTAGGCAACGTCAACAAGCAAAAGATTAAACAGACTGCGTCAACGACCTCTTCAGGGGCATAGTAAGTAGGTTGATAACTCCTATAAGCCATATAATCGCCCCAGTTATCCCCATTAGTAACCTACTTACCAAGCATAGCGTGCAACCTGCCAATGTAGAAAGTTTGCCGTGCCATGTCTCGCCAAGAAACTGCCTGAGGTAGAAACCTAAATCATCACCACTATCACTCCTAGGCTCGCTCCATAGCTTTAATACAAGGTACCTCACTCACATAGACCTTAGAATGGCATTGTAACTTGTTCAGGCCCCTGCATGACAGGATGCCTGCTCTCATCAGAGAAGCAAACTTCGAGGAAACTGTCGCAGTTGGGACTGACAGCTGGTAATTAAACTGCAGAAGCTGAAGGCATCCATGTAGCTGTATAGTATATACTTGGGCCCTGAGGTACTTATATGGAAGCCCCTTTGGGCTCAAAGTATAATATGGCTACATGGACCCTTTGGGAAAACGGGATGAACAAAAAGTGCTTGGCGTCTACGATTCTGTAGGTCTTCTCTAGATCCAGGATCACGCAAGTGTAGACTAAACGTGGGATTCCATACATCAAAAACATCTAAGCCTTTCAAAAACATCCTAAAAGATTTTGCGTGCTTCGTTTACCTTTCTCTTCAAATAGAGTGTCAAAGAAGGCTGAATCTGAATGACGGGTGGGTGTGCTGCTGGCGGCGGGGCTGGGATGGTGGTGGTGTTGAGATGCGACGACGATGCTGGCGGGGCGGCAGTGGCAGCAAGGCGATCATGCTCGTGCCACCGCCAAAGTGGGACTTAATTCATCAGCTTGTCTAGTCAGTCTATTCTTCCATTGCGCCCGCGCCTTTCAAGAAGGTGCAAAGCAACATGCAAGTGCACGTCTTTTCTGCGCAGTCGCAGTCTAGAGCTACAGATGATTTCCTGCTTGGTGCTATGCGAGACTGCTGGGAGCTTGTAACGCATGCAGGATTTCATTCAAGGGTTTCAGAAATCTGACCTCAAGCCGGACTGAGGGCCATGCGATTCCCCTTTCTCTAAGTTACACAAGCCTTCTTGTTTCGCATAGTTTGGACCTACAAAGGGCCTGGAGGAGTGGATTCCAGGCACAGCAATGTCAAACTCATATGGCCCATAGCCTCAACTCCTTAAAGTGTCTCATACAGGGGATTGTACAGGGTTTAGGCTTTGAACCCCTTGTAAGAATTATGGGGGTTATACAGGGAGTTATATAGGGGACTATGATGGGGGTTATTAAGAGGGATACTAGGAGTTTAGACTACAGCTCAGATGGACTAAGGTCGTCAGTTGTTTTGGCTTGGCTGCAGCAAGTGTCCAGTTGCTGTTTGGGGGTGTAAGGCGCGACACGGAAAGGAACAATGTTACAATCACATTGCAGTGACCCTCTGAAAACCCAAGCCAGGGTGTACATGAAGCAGACTTATGTAGAAATCCTAATATTTGCCAAAGATATCCCTTATACTCCTGGCATCACTGTAGGATTTTGAAGGCCGAAACCATTTCCGGATTTTTCAGGACTCTACAATACATTCCGAGGCGATCCGGACTTTGGTGGCGACAGCATGGCCGTTCAGGAACAACTGAGTGAAGTGTCTTGGCCTCGTCCTTGTTCTGCATACTTGTTGAGGGCTTTCAGGGAGCTACTGTCAATATTGGTGTTACCAGCGGTCCATGAAGGGTTGAGGTGTAGATTTAAGGGTGACTCAAGGACCATCAAGGGTGGACGTAGGGGCCTCTTGGGTAGTTTAGTATCGTCCCATATTAGGAAACTAGTGTGCAGTAATGGTCTGGGAAATATTGACAGTAGCTCGCGTAGGGGCCTGCGCAGAAAGAATTGGTTTGGGGATAGATGAAACTATAGCAAGAATTGCTAGACGAGGTTTATTAGGGAGTATCCAGATAATCTTTTGGGGCTGCCACAATAAGGGTCTCCGAAAAGGCACATCAACAGAAAGATCGCATATTTAGAACAGTGTACAGGAAGGATGTTGCCGAACCCCAGTGATGGGTGGAGATTTCTGTTTGTGTGATGGGTTGGGCCGGCCTTACTAATTTGAGGTCGGGTGGGGTAGATGTTTGCTTTGCCGCTAAACCCTAAACCCTAAGCCCCTAAACCCTAAACCCCTAAACCTTGAATCCTAAAGCCAACATGGGAATTTCCCATAACCATCACTCACTGTGAAGCCCTTAAGAGAGTCCCCAATATTCTTGTTGTAGCGTTTAGGGTTTAGGGTTTAGGGTTTAGGGTCTGGTCCCTAAGGGTACACCCGGTTGGGATAAGTCCTTCGAACCCTGGTGTCCTTGAATTGAATCACACACCCTGATCCGTAAAACCTAAAACCTTCGTCCCTCAACCCTGAAGCCTGAAACCCTAGTGGCGAACACGCAAAACAAAAAAGGTCCCTAACCACTGAAATCCCTAGACTCGAATCCCTAGACCCCTACTCTGGAAACCTTGAAGCCCCCCCAAACCCTAAACCCTTAAAGTCCTAAGCCCTAATAGACCCAGGTGCTGTATGTGGTGCCCTCGTCGCGTGCATTTGCAGCTCGTCGCCGCGATGGCCGGGCGCGGATTTGCCAAAACTTGGAGTTTCCTGAAAAAAGGGGCCCTTATCCTAAGGGTCCCGAGTGTGCAATTCTCATAATCCCAAAACCCTAATCCCTAAACCCTAGATAACCATTACTGGCATCAGAACCCCAAGGTAGATAATCATGGAACACTGGACCCTGAATTGGGGTGACGGGCCTTAGGTATAAATGGAGATTGCAAGCTAAGGGATTCTACAGGGCAAAGGGTTTGGGGTTTAGGGCTTAGGGTTTAGGGCCCTTTTGGTTCAGGTTTTAGGGCTTTGGAGTTGAGGGTTTGGCTACGGATGGCTTCTATACATATATATGTTTATGTACACTCACCGACGTTCCGAAGAAACCCTGTCTACCCACACAAGAGCGAAGTAAAACCGCCTCACAATATGTCAACCCTAAACCCTAAACCCTAAACATGTAATGTAGAAACTTCAGGCCCGGACTTGCGTGATAAATTACAACTCCTTAGCCAGGACCCTCCTTGTACCCTTAATTGGGGATCTATGGTCCCTAATAGTGGGTACTTAGGCCCTAATAGAGGGTAGGAGGAGGGTCTAGGAAGTATACAAGCTGAGGTTACATTTCAGTTGCATATTGATTTCCATCTGATTCTCCATTATCGGTGGTAATATTCCCCTAAAGTCGAGACCATGAACCCTATTGAGGCGCCTGTAGTACCCAACATTTCCTGAGCTTTTTTTTTTGTTAGTGGGCTATTCGCTGACACCCCAGAGCTGCCAACAGGCATCTGCATTTTTTGTTCAGGGTTTAGTGCCCGAAAGCTCCTCAACTCTCTATCCTGAGCCCTACATTCACCCTATATACCCTCAATCCTGAAAGGGTCTACCCCTAACCCGTTAAACCTTTATACCTCAAGTGCCCTACACCTGAAGCTACCCAACTCCAAACCCTAAACCCTAAACCCTATACTTTGTCCTTAAAAATCTTCACTTAACCCTGATCCGTGGTGCCAGCGTCCAGGTGGTCTCCTGGGGCTGCAAAGACAGCGGAGGGGAGCCCCGACCAGCTAAGTGAGGGTTTCAAAGGGTGTTTAGGGTTCAGGGTTTAGGGTTTAGAGTTTAGGGTTTACCCCAAAGCATAAGCCCTCAACCATGTGAGCTATAGTCCCAACTCCTTAAAAGGAGGGTATATAGGGGATGCTACAGGGGAGTGCTATAGGGGCTATTAAGGGGGATACTAGGACCTTGAAAGTTTACCCTAAACTGTAACCCTCAACCTTCTACCCTTAACCCTGAACCCTGAAACGCCCTAAACCCTTTAAGGATGTCAGCTGCAGGGGCTTCATCAAGGACTTTGGGCCCTCCCGGGGAGGCATATAGTGGCCATATTGAGACCCTAAACCCCAAACCCTAAAGCCTAAACCCTAAACCACACAAAAGAGACAACCATATCTATCTCCTTTTCAGGATCACTTTTCACGGGACTGTTTCATTATAACCCCAATATAACCCCAAATATTATAGCAGTCTCCATTTTATTTTCCGTCAAAATCCAAGTATAACCCCAATATACTATGGTAGTTTCCATTCCATTTTCCGTTATCCCATTATGGGCATCAATATCCGTTCTCCCATTCCCTCCTAGCCCACGTGCCCCAAATGTTGGGACGTAAGGTCCCAAACACTAGAGTTTGAATGGGCTTGGAATGAATCTAACATTTAGGTACTTGGACCCGTAGGGTTCCCTACTAGCTAACAATAAGTAAGGTTGAAGGGCTTTCATCTCACAGGACCTCAGACTACGTAGAGGGTCCAAGTAGCTACTAAACAAAGCTTTTTTTACCCTGAGCTCTATTATCTGAATGTTTGTTGGCACCCAAAGGCAATCTGTCGGGTACTTGGACTCTGAGGTTTACTTGAAGGGTCTATGGCTGAATAAAGCGACTTAGTAGTAAAGGTTCCGGGCTTGATTATGTTGGTGTTGTTGGCTGACGTGTGTGCAAGTACCCCCGCCCTAGCACGCCCCTAAGCGCCATGCAAGGCCAAACTAACTGTTTGCTTATGCTTCATTTGGGTTTAGGGTTTAAGGTTCAGACGGGAGTGGCCGATCTGTAGAGTCCACAGGGTATCCCATTTTGAGTGCCCTCCTCCTAAGGATATTGACGGCTTCAAGTGAAGGTCTGCAACCATTGGATCTCGTCCAACTGTTGCTTGAGTAATCTGGCCATTGCGACACAAGTGTATGATGACCTGAACAGTGATACTTCCACATCTGATCTGGACCCAAAGGCGAGTTTTACTGGATACCTGCCCCCGTATGGCTTCAATTCAGGCTCGTGAGTTCTCGATTACTGAGTTGCCGTTAAGGAGTTTCATTCAAGTTACTATGTTGGGGAAACCCTATTAATTACTATATGTACCCATTACGGTAACCTAGTTGAAGTTCCTCAACAGCAACCCAGATTAACGGCACCCTATGCCAAACTTAGTCGTGGGGATTCCTTGCATCGGATCCTTCTCTGGGCCTACTCAGCTTTCTGCAGGGTGCAGGGTGTAGGGCTCACGGCTTATAGGGTCTAGGGTTTACAGGGTTTGGGACTTATAGGGTTTAGGATTTAGGAGGCAGTCGAGACCCTTTAAACCCTAAACACTAAACTATTCTTGAGGAACTGCCATTTGTCAAGTGGACGAACCAAGCTGCATGTTGGCGTGAGGGTCAACGCGTTGTAGATGAAGTGAATATGGTGCTGCCAGACAATCAAACAATCTCCTTAAAACAGCATTGTAGCATATATGGCAATTCACATAAATATCCTGCACAGCATAGTCCGCAATACGCTCATAATACGGAGCTTTGAAAAGGAAACCCTGATTTCCGAAAATCCGCATGTTTGCCGATTCCTGAGCAAGTTTCTGAAGATGGCTTACTTGATCTTCAGGATAGCCGCGCTGTTGAGGACCAGCTGATACAAGTGGAGGACTGATAGTCTCCACAGTGCAGTGGCGTGATGCGCCCGATGCTGGTTTGTCAGGATGTGGGCCCTTTGGTTGGGATTGGATAGAAGAACCCTAAGGGTGCATGTGCCCAATATTTGGGTATTTAGGGTTTGGGTAATAGTAACTATAGTACTGGTTTCGGGTAAGTATATGATTATATGATATGATCCTATGATTGCTGAATACCTGGACCCTTAGGGGAAATCATTTTCACAAACGCCCGTACGAAGCCCTCCTGGTTCACGTTTTTGAAAGTTCATTCGTTCCCCAGAGGGTCCATGTACCCAATAATTGGGTACTTGGGATCTGGGTAATAGTAATTACAGTATAGGTTTTGGGTAAGTATATGATTATTTGGTACTTGGACCCTTAGAGTTCTGCTCTGCTGCATGTGTCACAGACATTCCTCAGCATTTGCAATTCTGCATCTTGCAGGAGATTGTTGCCAATCAGCTACTTGGCTGCCAGAGTCGGATTTCTAGTCCGCCTGGTTTTAGAGTTCAGGATGTAAGGTGTTCCTTAGGAACTGTTTTGTTGTTTAATCCTTTCTGGGTACATTGAGATTCAGAGCCCTTCCCGTCAAGAGGCCCAGACTAATTACACACTACCTAGGGTTGGGGGTTTAGGGTTGTCAAGGTCGGCTTGTTTTTGTGAAAGTTTGAGGAATCTGTGACTATGATTCATATTGATTTTGGATTTGCGAAGTAAGATGGGCGCATACAAATTTGACTTTGAGGCCTGCATCGGTGACCGGTTGAGACTCTGAAGCCTCCAAGCGCGAAATTTGAACAGATTCAGACCCTAACCCCTAATCCCGAAGCCCATAATTTGTGTATATGTAAATGTACATATCCCTCAATGAATAACCTTTATGTATCACAGGCATACATCATACCTCTGGAAACACCCCCAAGACTTACTGGTGAGTAGCAGTGAGTAAAGGACGATCATGCCTATGCAATCCCTATAGAATCCCTATATAACATATTCCCTAATTTCCTATTTAAACCCCAAACCCTAGATAATCTCAAAACACCGCAAGGCATGCCATAGCAGCGCTACGTGCGGATGGCTCCGTGGTGACTTGGGGGTCTGCTGCGGCCGGAGGAAGGGAGCTCGAAAGTTTATTAACCACATAGGGTTTTAAGGTGTAGGATTTAGGGTTTAGGATTCAGGGTTTAGGATTTGGAATTTGGGGCTTATAGGGTTTAGGATTAAGGGCTTCGGGCTTAGGAGTGCGCGGTTTAGGATTTAGGCAGGTTTATGTGGGGTTATGGGAGCTTAGGTTGGGGTTACATGGGGTTATACAGGCTCATGTGGGTTTGTTGGGATCATTTGGGGTTATATGGGGTTATTTGGAGTTGTTGAGAGCTTAAGAGCCTAGTCTAGAGTCTACGGTTTCGAACAATAAACACCACACCCGAAATGCCACGCCCCAAGCCCTTAACCCCAGATCCCAAACCTTACAAGCCCTAAGCCATAACCCGGGGGTTCCAAGTCTATAAAATTTTACCTAGATTTGGCCCAAAGTCTATAAAAATAGATACGACCTACATCGGGCTACTTGGAGCCTGAGGGTAATTCGTCGTCAGGAGACAACAGCAGCGTGCAGAAGGAGTTACATTCTGTGCAGCGGCTCTACTCAGCTTGGAGAGGTGGATGTATCCTGAAAATTTGGAGGATTCCCGCAATTAGGGGTACCTTTTTGGGGGGCATGATTACAGGGTCTGTAGTATTTTGGGGTCTATATTGGGGTCCCCCAATTTTGGGAAACTACCATATAGTTTTTTCTTTTTTTTCGCAGAGGCCTTCGTCATAGGGATTCTGTCTTCTCCTCGGCACTTTACCCTTAACCTTTTGGGTTCCCATATGTTCCGACAACAGGTAGCCAAAAGTTAACTTTCACTAGGGGTGCCGAGTGCAATGGTGTTTTGTACAGGGGTAAATCAAGGGAACCCTACTTTTTAATTAGAAATCAGCCCGAGTACCCTCTCCCAAACAAACAAGGACGCCCAGAGGTAGCCTTACAAAGACCTTCTGGGTGAATGCAGAACCAGGGGCGGTTGTTGGGTGTGTCTTTATAACCCTAGTATAACCCACTATACACCTTATTTGATCCCAATATAACCCCAATAGTGACTAATTATGAAGGAACCTGATGTGAGCTATGGTCTAAACTTCTTAAAAGGGGGCTATATAGGGGTTTAGGGCTTAGGGTTTGTGATTATAGGGATAATGGAAATGAAGATGGAAGCTAGTACTTAGGGTTTAGGGTTTAGGTTCTAGACTCCTTAAAGGGGGTTGTACAGGGAAGTATGATAGGGGTACCGAGGGGGATATGAGGAGTTCATATCCTATACGTGACCTAAGCCATTGTTGAAAAACCCCGAACCTAAAACTCTAAACCCCAAACCTTTGACCCTAAACACCTTAAACCTTAAGGCCTATTACCCCAACAAACCTCAAACCCACAACCCCCTAAACCCCCTGCACCTTAAACCCCCCAGCTTAAGGCAGATTTGCCCATCCCACTACGCCTTCGCAGCCCTGCGCTGTGACGGGGCGATAGTTACCTGGGGCGCAGCCCGGCAAAGAACTGCCTGGTGCTCGTCATCGTTCAGGGCTTAGGGTTTAGGATGCTGATGATTATTACTGTTGTTGTGATTGCCAGTCCTTCTGCTTCTTATCTGGCTAGCCCAAGTACAACAGAGAATCGAATGGACCATCAAATTGAAGCTGCGTCTTAAACCCTAAACCCTCATCCCTGAACCCTAAACCCTGAACCCTAAAGCCTAAGAGGGTCTGGGGTAGGGAATGGAGGGAGGAGATCCCTAATTATAGTAACTCCTATGCCATCGCCTAGGGTTAAGGGTTTAGGGACATTTCCTACGAAGCACCAGGGTGGCGTGTGTGTTTTTGGAGGGGGGGGGGCATGGGTGTTCAGGGTTTGCAGGTTTGGTACAGATGGGTAATTGTCCTTGGAGAGCACTTTTTGTAGGATTTGGAGTTCTCATAATGTGACCTATAGTCTAAACTCCTAGTATCCCCCCTAATAATCCCTATAGTAGTCCCCTATATAATCCCTATATAACCCCCTTTAAGGCGTTTAGACTATAGCTCATGTGACCACCTAAGCTCACCCAAGGATCCCAACAGCGGCGGAGATTGCCAAAGCGTGAGCCAACAGCTGAAGCCTTGCGAAGAAAAACCCGCTGTGCCTTAGGTTTAGGGTTTAGGGGTTTAGGGTTTAGGGGTTTAGGGGTTTAGGGCTTAGGGGTTTAGGGTTTAGGGTTTCAGGCTTCAGGGCCTTATGGGCTTATAGTCCCCCTTAAGTAGATAGAATGTGGTTTTGGATTTATTCTAATAAGATCCCCATATACCCCATGTTCTATCTACTTAAGGGGGACTATTGAAGTTTTGGGTTTGTCCAGTTTTGGGATTTTTGGGATTTCGCATTTTGTTTGCGAAATAGCTATGTACGTACCCCATTACCATTACCCTAAACCCTAAACCGTAATTATTGGGTACTTGGACCCTTTGGGTGGGGAGGCCGCCACGGCCGGCCTGGCACTCACTACCTGAGCCTGTCGGATGATTGGGCTTTCGTGTGGATCCCCGGTTTCAGGGTTTACCCTAAACCCTAAACCCTAAACCCCAAACCGTTTAGAGTACCAAAACCTCAGTGAGGGCTGGGAGTTGATCCGGTTCAGGTTTAGAGTCTCAGGGTCTAGGATTTAGGAATCAGAGTTTTAGAGTTGTGGTTTCAGGGTTGAAGGGTTCAGGTTGGAAGGTTTTGGGGGTTTGGGGTGCAGAACTTTGAAACCATAGACGCTAGGGCCCTAAACATGGTTTTGAAGTTGTCAAAGTGGTGGAGCTACCGCTGTACTCTGGGGTGGTTCGTCTTTCTTCAGCTAGACCTCTCCCCTGGCACAGCTTGGTAACCCTAAACGGATTTTGATTTGAGCATTGTTATACAGGATTACATAAGGGTATAAGGGATTGCCTAGAGATTCTTCTAGGTAAGAAGAGGAGTTAAGAAAACCCTGAACCGTAAACCCTAAAGCCTAAACCCTATAATGCGGACCCTATAGAATCCTTGTTTTGTGGAGTTGGCGCACCCCAAATCCGCTGACAGTGTTATTGGTAAGCGCCCCTTACCCTGACAGTCAACATTCCTCTTAGTTTTTAAGGGTCCTAATCACCCTAAACCCTAAACCCGTCGTTGTCGGGGGGGAGGGGGGAGCGAGGGGTGCATTTCCAGCCGGGAAGTGATGAAACCAGACACAGTAGGTTCCAAAAATAGAGAGCCACCCCAATATGAGCCATAGTCTAAACTCCTTAAAGGGGCGTCATATAGGGGATTATATAGGGGACTGCTATAGGGGTTACTCAGGGAAACTACTAGGAGTTTAGACTGTAGCTCATATAGACCCCCCAAATATTACCTTAAACCCTAAACCCGTAAATCCTAAACCCCTTAAGCAAATATTATGGGCACCACAAAAGAGCCCTCAGTGTTGGAAATTCCTTATTTCCGTTCAGCAGGGTTGGGTAAAGCCAAGCAAGGCTTTTGGGGTTCAGGGCTTAGGACAAATGGGATGGCAAGTCACTTTAGAGTGTAGGCCTATTCCCCCTTAATGAACTTTACTTCGGCCTAATTATCACTGAAGAACCCTTCTCTTAATAAAGGGGGGAACCGGGGGGGGGGAGGTAGTTCGAGGGGGCAGTCGGAGAACCCATGATAATGTAACTTTATGGAAGCCCTTGCCTGTGAAACACCAAGGAGACCTACCAACGAACACTTCTCCAAGAGTGCAACCCAGCTATTTCAACAGGGCCCTGATTGGAATAGATCCCTGACCACCACGATACGACTACATTTTGTCAAAACTTGAAAAACTGTGTTTTTTGTTGTTCGCACTGGACTGCGCCATGTGTCATCCCAAGATGTTCCAAACATCATCCCGTAAACCCGTCTTCCCGGGCCTAAGGTTTGGAGTTCAGTTCAGGATTTAGGGTAGCCGTTTGTAGCTGTACAGCACACGCCAGAAAGTTTGAATGCAACCTGCCCGACAAGTCACCACAGTTGGCCAAAGGCACTCTGTTGCCATTGCCATGTTTCAATATCATATGTTGGCGTTGTTTTCTGCGGAATGCAGTCACCTGGATACTGAAAAGAGCAACCATAGCTGAGCATCACGCTCTTCAGGCAGCTGGGCGCCTCTTCTGCTTTCCTTCTTGCTAACGAGTTTGACTTCTGCTTACTTGTAGAGAGAGATGGCCAACTTGATGCTTCGGTGGGTTTTTAGGAAGGGCAGAACAGCCTAGCATTGGAGGCATACAACCCTGAACCTTCAACTGAACGCTACTGAGCCTGAACCCTAAACCGTAACCTCGGATAGTGGAGAAATGACCCCATAAAAAGAAATAAATATATAAATATATAGAGATATAGTAATAATAATAGTAATAATAATCACAATAATAATGATACTAATAAACCGTAACCTTCTTCGCCCAGTCTCTTCGCAAGCGTGGCGATGGCCGGATCCTGTTCGGGTTCAGGGCTTCGGCTTGACCTCTTAAGGCCTTACCTAGACCTTTTTGGGTTATAGGGTGATATTGGGATAATGGAACAGAAAATGGACACTACTATAATAGGGTTTAGGGTAATGTTGGGGTTATATTCTAGACCCTCCAATGTAGTTCCTTTTTGGGTTTGGTATGTTTTTTTGGCTTAGGATTCTTATTAGGACTGCCAAAAAGGTACTACATTGGAGGGTCTAGGTAGGCTACGGTCTCAGGGTTACAGGAAAGTTAACAAGAGATAGAATCAGGGTTTGGAAGGTGTTCGGCTTGGATGAGGGATTCCAGAAGGTCGGGGATGCAATATTCCTTGGAGAGCGAGCATGGAGAGCTACTCATGTGGGATTTATCTTGGCATGATACAGCAATGTAGATCGAGAAGAGCCTACCGTAAAAAGAAAACAACGGCGGCACTCTCTTTGGCCAAGCCTGGTAACTCGAACTTAGCTAGACTTGATGATTATCTTGACTATGCTGCTCCCCCTAAACCCTAAACCGGCTTCCTTGTTCACTCCCAGCAGTCCTACATCCTACATCCTAAACTCCAAGTTCCCGCGCGCTACATCCTAAACCCCAAGCTGGTACACCCCAAGCACTACATCCATACCTTCCCTGCACCCTAAACCGCACCTGTAACCCCTCTCCCCCCCCAACTTGCTAGCAATAAGCCCCCCGGCACAACGCATCAAACCATATAAATCGGGGCTACATCTGAACCCCTCTAATCCTCAACCTTAAGCCCTCTGGCGCTATACCCTTAAACTTTGTAACCCTAAACCCTCTAACGCTAAACTCTTAACTCTAGACCCTAAGCCCCACGCCTTATCAATCCCTATAGAACCTTATATAAATTCGATATTCCCTCATATCACGCTTACATAGCCTCCTCAAGAGGTACTCTAAGCCCAAAACCCTAAACCCCTAAACCCCTTAACCCTAAATCCTAAACCCTAAATCCTAAACCCGAAACCCTAAGCCTTAGGCCGCCCAAGAAGTTGCCCTGCAGGTGAAAGTGTTGAGGGCAGCCAGACAACAGTCGTCTCGACAGGCCAGGATTCCATACACAGTGTAGGGTTTAGGGTTTCTTGTTTAGGGTTTCAGGTTTTGGGTTTAGGATTTAGGGTTTAGGATTTTGGGTTTAGGGTTTAGGGTTTAAGGTTTAGGATTTAGGATTTAGTTTGGGTTTAGTTTTTAGGGTGAAGTTTAGGCTTCAAAGCTAGGACCCTACTGTAGATGAGTTGAGGGTGTATGTAGGGGTATTACCCCAGCAATGGAGAATCCATGGACAAAAACATGGAGAATGAAGTGGAGGCTGAGACTATGCACACTTGATTTTAGGGTGTTTGAGGTGGAAGTTTGATTAGTTGCCAGCGCTATTTGTCATTTTCCTCACCGGATTAAAGCCCTAAGCCCTAACTAAATCCTCAAGCCTACCCTGCCAGGCAGCGATGAAGTAGCTGGCGAGCAGGCACTTACATGTCCAGGGAGTCAGGGCTTCAGGTTTTTTTAGAGGTTCCGGGTTTGAGGGATCGAGGGTTTCAGTTGCCAAGTTAGAGACCCGAATCCTCCTCAAAGCCTCCTGCCCCAACCCCGAACCCAGAGATTGGTCACCTAAACCCAAAGCCGCAAACCTTACACCCCCACACCGTAAGCCATCTAAGCCTCAATTGTTTTGCGCGCGTGTACCTGCTGCTGTAATTTGTGTTTTCCCCGTGGTACAGCTTGAATTCTGGCCTGAAGCTATGACATTTTGCCAATACTGTATGAGTACGTAGTGATATTAACTATGCCCCTAGGAAGTGTCCTATAAACTGACATGAAGAGTTATATATATATATATAGATATGTACATATATATGTGGACACACCTAGGTACATGTTCAATTGCTGAGCAGGCTTCTCCGGTGGATCAGGGGGGGGAGGGAGGGTGAGCATGTATGCATGTATTTACATATACACACACGTGTGTATATATATGTATATATATATATGTA